ACTTACTGACACCTTACCAAGTGTTTACTAAGCTAGAGATAGTAATCTTGTCTGATTGTTCCATAGGTATGGGTGTTGACTTATTATTCAGGATCCCTCGCACTCCAAATTCTACATTATACAGCTATCAGTGTGTCAATATACCAATAGGATTTCGAGTTAATCCTGGYTTTTCTTCATCTGTGAGTGTTGAATGTGACTTCATGGGAAATTTTGCAGCATATTTGAATCAAGGCTGGAAACTTGTAGAGATATTTCTAGACCAAGGCATGCAAGCTCATGGAGGTAAGCAAGTAACAGATGCAGTATCAACTGACTGGATATATGCTTCATAATTGCCTAACTTTTTCAGTGATATAGTGTAAACATTTTTTAGGGGACGGGGAGAGGAGGGGAAAGAGAATGAGAGGGGGAAGGGAGGGGTATATTGTTATATTTAGCCCTACCCTGCCTTGCAGAAAAGGAAAGTACARTAAAAGATTAGGAATGTCAACAAACACTGCATCCCCGCTTTAGTAGCAATTTTGACTAACACACGAATTCCACGGAGTAGAGTTGTCAAGCTCGTTCCAAGAGCTTCTCTTGTCAATATTTCTTCCATCTCGGAAAAAGGCACTGGGAACAAGATGGTAGAATTGCCTGCGACTGAGGCTATGAGTCCAGTCTTTATTGTTGATATAACTACTACAACTGTAATTTAYTCATTGTTTTCAGCCTTCACAATGTCAGCACAAATGAACTCAGTGTGGTTTTTTGAGAAAGAGACTGMCAAGGTTAATGATGCAACCCCTGTTTATGAAGGAACTATTATAACTTACGAGCATATAATTAAGGTGAGCACACTAGGAAGACAATATATATTGATTGATGGATGTACTTCCCTTCCTGTTCTCTCCACTCTTAATTGGAAATATCGCTATTCAACAGCATGAGAGGGKAGGGAGGGAGGGGGATATCTCAACCTGAATATGTGAAGAAATAAACAATAGATGGAGAAAAACAATGTATGAATTTTGAATAAATAAGTGTATAGTGTTTATATAGATGAACGGATTCACGGCTTTCCATACCAAAGTTCAGTGACAAYAAAGAAAGATTGAAACGAGATTTCATGGACACTGAGCACAGATCTTGAACGCTTACCTTATTGGCGCCTTTGTTCGTGTTAACTGAAGGAGATTATGGAATATCAGGAATGAATAAATAAATCAACCAAAAAAAGAAAAGAATTCGATTAATGATATTGATGATTGGTGCTATTCTGTGTTTCACGAATATTTGAATACTTTCTTTATATTTACTTTTTGAATATAGAGCGGTTTTGGTGGCGTGAAGGTTAAAAGTGATTGGTCACCATTACTCCAGCAAATGGGGGAGAGAGGCTGGGAACTAGCATGCCTGTTGGAAACTCCACAACAACAAAGGACGGGATTCACTACAGCGAGTGTTACAATTCTGTTTTTCTTTCAACGAAAAATAATTCGCTAATGATGAAAAGATGTATATTAAATTTATTCTGAATAATACACAAATRTATATTTTATCAGGTTACTCTTGCACGCAGACGTAGAATGAGGATATTGAATTTCGAAGGATTAGATATAGATGGGCGCCAATGTTTACGTTTTAGCTAATTTGCATAAAAGTCAGAAATCGAATTTCAAGAAACAAGAAAATCAAGCCCATAAATGAAAAGAACTCATAACTGTTAAMAATTCCTGCAAATTTGAAGGCAATTGGTTAAATATTTCTAGAGATATCAAGCGTCGAATTTGCAAGATTTTCTAAAGAAATGACCGTGGTTGGCATTATTTTGCCAACCACTGAATGTTTTCTATAGATTTTGTAGTTTTCAAATGCCGATATCTCGAAATGTAAAAAAGCGTTTGCCCTAAAATTTTCAGGTTTTGTTGACATTAATATAATCTTGAATGGTATGAGTTCAGATTGCTTATATTTTGAATTTTATATTTCGGATGTAAACAAACTGCGTCATCGTACGCCCACCTATAAGATGTAAGATATGGGATCCTGAAGTGACTATATAAAAAAAACTCTTTGTAGTCAAAAAGAGTTGTCCTAGTGGTGCGGAACGTTCCTACACTTTGAAATGTTATACTAAATAAAAGTCTGAATCTGAATGACACTTGGATTAATTCTCATCACATCCTAACGCACCCTATTACCCAAAGCACATCGCTCGTTCTCACTGTGGTCTGCCCTGGGTACGAAAACGGATTTTAACCGATATGAACATTACTCAATCTCGTACCCAGAGCACGCACTTTTGCCATCCAGCGGCTGACAATGCGTGAGAGACTCTGGAGGAATCGACTGGATTTGTGACGCTCAGTTCCGTCGCAAATTATGCAAATGATTGTTATGGGAAGTCGCGTCTGAAGCTCAAATTCGGTATGAGTCTTCAAAACTGCTACAAGCAACTAGGTAATCCATAAGATACGTCCAATGAATATATCTAAAAAAATCGAATCTCTTGATTCCTGACGACACTTCCAAGGTTTCCCTGTGGTTTATCATTGAAGGCCAGGTTTCCAAGGGCAAATTTGATGGATCTTCCACCTTCCTTCTCTACAGTATCTGGAAATTTTACTCATATTTAAGACTCACAGAAGCTGGCAAAATCACTAAAAGACTTCCAAATGAGGTAAGATAGATTGTAGGTAGCGATCTTTCAGAAAACAAAAAAAGTAGCTTCTACTTATCGCCGATGCAATGGACTCCTTTTTTATCTAAAGACTATAACGTAAGCTTAATAAGTCTTAAGCTTATATAGCGCTACTTTTAGAATTACAATACAATACCATACAATATTTATTTCCACGCACACACAAATAATAGACGAGGAAAACAATTGCAAGAGAATAGTTTTAAAAATATTTAATCTGGAGGATGAAATAAAACAACTTGAACATGAACTTGAAGGTTAGATAGAAGGTTACATGCTTACACACTACGTAAATTGATAAAAAACAATTGAGTGAAAATACCAACGCYTCCAAGAAATTATACTAAATCTGAAACACAGTTTCTCGTCCTATCAGCAGTAATCAGTGGTTTAATCGGCTTGACAGCGTTTCACTGTTTGACTGTTCAAATGTTCAAATCTGCATGCTATAGTGACAAAGAAACACATAAAATCACTAAAAATTGATGAACAAAAAGTATTTATAAAACTTAACAACTGATTATGAAAAGTCAAATAGGCTCAAAATAAAAGAAATCAAGATAATAGCGTACTAATAACGAGTTTATTTAGTGAAATAAGTCTCTTACAGGTTTCTGGTGAATTTGTTTTTTGACTCCGCCATCTTGATAATTTTATCAATAACCATGCCGATTTCGCCAAAACAGACAAGATATTCAACAACAAAATTTCCTCCGTTTTCATTCTTGGATTTAGACAACTTGATGTCGTTGTGCCCACCGCGGAGCGTTACTATCACGGACCCGCTGCTTCAGAAAATTTTTGTTTTTTGAATATAAAAAAMCATCGATTGCTTCTCATGATTCGTATTTTTACCTACCTCATTCGTATATTCTTGGCACTTATTTTCCTCTAGAGTATGGCACAAGAACTGTTCTTTTTTCTGGGACTGAATTTCTTGCTGAACTTCGATTTCTCCTTCTGATGTAAAAGATGTTCATCCGGAACGACGATGTACAAGGAATTTGTAGGCACTAGTTGGAATGGTCTATCGCCAAGATACGCAAAATATGACAAGGTCTTTGGCCTTTCTAGGGAATTTCCTTTGTGGTAGTTTCCCTCCTTTGTTTGGCCTTTCCACTCATGGGACGATTTTTTTGTTGAAAAATTTACGGCGCTCCAATTGGATGATATTTCGCATTCTTCTGTCAATAGCCCGTTCGAAATTGATGAACTATCCAACAATTCGGAGCAACTTTCTGTTCTATCCATGTTACTCTATATTGTTTGTTYGTGTTACCCGTTGCTTGCCGTAGCTTCTTTTCCTTCACAATTGTGAATTTCTTTTCCAAAATCGCAAGTTTTCTAATCAGCGTTGCTAAGGTAGGGCTAAGGAGTGACGTTTGTAATTAAGGTTCTTTTTCGGCCTCGTTACCTATTCAGTTTTGGTGTTAGTGTTACTAAGGTACTGCTAATTAGGGTATGGCGTTGCAATCAAGGGTTCTTTTTAATTAACTATGTTGTTAATGAAGATATGGTGTTTTTAGTGAGGGTGTTTATCTGTACTAACTCATATGTCGACACAGCGTAGCGCCAAACAAATAGATTTTTTTTATTTAGCTATGAACAGATCGACCTATGAATCAATTTAGGTTAGAACGACTGTAGCACGGCAGTGTAACGGAAGCGCCTGAAGCTGATAAAGACCTTTTCGCGGTTAAAACCGAATTGGGCAAGATAAACAAGAGTATCAAGTAATATCAAAATTATGACTTTTTTCAGCGTCAAAAATTATTTTCCTGACGGGGCAAACGGATAAACGAGCTCAAAAATAACAACTTTTTGGATTGTTTGCCTCAATCGTTTTCTTTCAAAACCACAGGTTCATCGTGCAACTAATTGTTTTCTAACCGCGCGAAAAGGTTTAAGCTAACGTTGTGCCGGACCTGATGCACTAATATATCTATTTTTGATGGTAGATTATAAACATTAATTGTGTGTAACACTTTTTACTATTTACTACAAAATTGTGTTATTTATAAACAATAGAAAACARTAGAWTTAKCATAATTTAGCAGTATTTAGTGGTATTTATGTTGCACAGTCTTAGTGTTTGTACTCTAATAGTGGATGTGTAATTGTAGTGCAATCGGTTGTTGTGTTTTTGACTGCATTTCGATCTAATTTCGACGTAGAGTCTCTGATTCAACGCCTTACCAAATGTGTATGCATGGGGATGACACGACATCGTATGAACCGGCCCGATACGTAAGTACATGAGATACGTACACAAAACGATAGGGTTGAGTAACCATGGTGTATACGGCGCACTAGAGCGGATTTCGATGAGTGGGAAACGGACGGTACTGTACTGTAACCGTAATCCTACTGTAACCAAATTTTAGTGCCCCATTAGTTCACCAAAATTGTGCAGGCCAGGTCCGGTAACTGTGCGGTAACCGTGCGGTAACGGTGTCCCACTCATACGAAATCCGCTCTAATGCAGTCCTCACCGTAAATATCGTAATGCTCTTACGTAACGCAACGCGACGGCCGTTAACGCCACTATATACTGTAACAAAAAAGACATGGAACAGCGACCGCGGAGCGTGAATTTGTCTGGGGGTGGGGGTGGCTAGCGACGAGGAGGTACTAGGGGGGTTCGCAAATTTTTGAAATCTTAAATCTCGGAAATGTCATTTCCAGCGTTTTGAGGCGTTATCAAAGACATTTTTACAGCACACACGGTCAGATATATTATCAATAAATCCCAAAGACTTCGCAATAAAAGCTTCAATTTTAATTGTTCACGATAAGTTTCTACACAATTTTAATAGAATATATATGGTGAAATTTCATAAGGAGGCTCTTCGCTTCTTTATTTAAGAAAATTCAAAATATCGGAAAAATTATAGCCCCCAKCCCCCACTGCTCCGCRGTCCATGTGGAAAACTGACCATTAGCCTCGTGTTGACGTGTATCTACTCCATTCTATCATATTGCTCTAATCACTTGTTTTTGAAACAAAATGGACTTACTTAACGGGCAAGTGCGTTTTTACGGTCAGTTTCCAATCACTCGATGAAATCATTACGGGTACCGTTACGTTACGCCGCCAGTTAGGGAACTGAAACGATTAGAGCGGATCGACTAATGCGTCTTTTTTCATGTTTTTTTCTTTGATTTGATTCGAAATTTATATTTATTTATTTATTTATTTATTTATTTATTTATTTATTTATTTATTTATTTATTTATTTATTTTATAAATAAAAGTAATATTAATATTATTTTTATTATTTTTTGCATATACATTTCTTTGTTTTTTATATATATGTTTATTAGCTTTTAAAAGATTGTTGATCCTTTTCTTTTCTCTCCGTTTTTTTTCGTTATAACATTTATTTCTTTGATAGGATTAGCTTTGTAGTTTAAAAATCAATCACCTTGATCCAAAAATTAATAGCTTTTTGTTCCGCGCGCTTTTCACCATTAATTTGAGTAAACAATGGAATTACCAAATATGGCATGACAACAAAGCAACTCCCTGTCAACGGATGACCAATCAGCTATTGTTCTTCGCGCGTCCTTTACACAGAGCGTTGATTTCGCCTCTAGCATWACATTGGCTTCCTGATCAGTTGTTCCATGAGCAGAAGAATAGCGCTGTTTTGAGAGTGCAAAAGGCAATCGCTTTGCCTTTGGAAACTTTAACTCAAGTCTCCTGGTAAATACACTATTCAATGAGTATTAGACGGGCAGAAAACGGCGAATACTCGCTTCGTAAACATTTGAATTTTGACCTCGAGGAGGACGATCTGGACAGTGATCTTGGAAATGAACTACGAGGTATTTACAAACATCAGCTAAAAGAAATGGAGAGCGTGGAAGCGAAGCGAGAAGATGCACAGAGGGTAAGTTTTAAAACATTTCAACTGCCATCGTGACCWAATAAACAGCTGGGAAAAACACAAGCATAGCTAGTGCAAACTTAGATCTAATCGTGACAGATGTCAACAGAATAATTTGCCATCTTTCTTCGAAGAAAAAATTGTATCTAAGAAGATATCAAAATTGTAAAATAAATGGTTATTATATATTTATGTTCGATCAAAAAGACCAAATGCATTGTGTGACAGAGATCTCTTGTGTTCTCTTGTAGTTTTGACTGAAAATTTCTCCAACATCGATGGCCTTTTCTAAAGTTCTTTTGTTTTAAATCATGTATTTGGACATCATTCACATTGTATCGCATACCGCATAATTCCCTTTTTTTATGCTTGATTTGAAACAGCTGATCACTCACAATTTAAACGCGTTGTTCTATTTTGAGTATGTTTGCTTTSAGTTACTAAGTGATAATGGAATGGAAGCGTGTTCTTACACTGATGTTTTCATTCTCCCATTTTAACTTTGCAACCATCTTGATTTACTCTATTTTTTTTTGGCGGTTAGAAAAAAGCAATTAGCTATGAGAGCTACTGTCCCAATTTATAATCTATACATTAATTTAATCATTTTTTGATCAGGTTTTCGCTAAATATATAGCTTGGTATACTGTTTGAATTTCTGTACTTGCAGAAATCCATGTACATGTATGTGGGGCATGATTCTTTGCAGTGATGTAAGAGAATCCTGGAGCTTTTATTGACATTATTAAAACTCCAACCATTCTCTCACTTTGCAAAGGCTACCCTAGCTTCGTGATATTGTTGGGAAACCCTAAAKAGTATTATCTCAATACGGGATAGGTGTGAACCATCCATTGAGAGTTGAGTTTTAGAGACTTTCCAAGGTCTGTGGACAGGTTGATTTGGTCAAGTTGYTGTATCCACATGAGTTTTGATTCCTTTTCTGATGAAGGGTTTGATTCTGAAAGTTTGTGGAGCATGGGTTGTTTTTGGATAAGCAAACCATTATATTGGATGTACCTAGATGATTCTGTTATCTCCAACTGCAGAACTTTTTCTCAGCCATTTTCTATTCTCAGTGTTGTGTGAGAGGTACCATATTGTACTGTTTTGTGTACTATATGCCATATGGGAACCCAGGCGCAATCTTCTGTCATTGTTCATCAAAGATAGGACATCGCGCCTGGGTTCCCAAGGATGACAACAACGTTTAATTCAAGGATAAAAACTTACAACTATAAGCTATTTTGAAAACCATTCCATAGAAAATGCAACTTGGTTTGTATTTACATTCAAGCTTCTATGCTTTTAATCTTTATCCTGGGATTTATCAAGGATRATAACAATATTATTCAAGAATAAAAACTTTACAGGTCTAAGCTATTTTGAAAATCATTCCATAGAAAATGCAATTGAGTTTATATTTACATTCAAGTTTCTATCGATGCTATTAAGAGTATCTTGAAAGTGATGTTCCAGTGATTTTTTCCCCAGTATAATATTAAGTTAGAGTGCAGTTTTTAATTAAACTGTCATGATTGTCAAAGTCTTATTTAGTGTTATGGGCAAAATGAAAAAAAACAACATTGAAACTCAAAGAATTATGAAGTTTTCATATGAAAAAAACCCATAGTTTGTTATTATTAATTCATGAGTTTGTAAAAACCACTCTAAAGAAACTAGATTTTCACAAAGTCATTTAGTTTAGCCTCCTGGATCAGCACTTGGTTCATTTATTCAATTTTTGCTTGATCCTTGAAATTTCCTCTCTTTCCAAAAAGAGTCCAATTTGTAGCCAGTCTATAAACCAACCTGTTAAACATACTTTATTAGATATTAGAATTATTTTTATTTTATTACATATTTAATGTTCAATATTACATGTAAATATTTCATTCTAATGATGTCTGCTTGCCAATTTGAATACCTTTGTTTAAAACCTAATTGTAAAAAGTTGTTGGGCTTTAAAAAGTGACATTGAGCACTGCCAAAGATTTTGAGAACTTAAAATTTCAGCTGCAACATTATTATTTATGATAATTTCTTGTTGTGATGCAATTATGCATCAGTTTTTGGGAACTGAACCATGTTTACGCACATAATAACGTGCTAACTTCCTTTCTTCCCATGTTCAGTCTAACCTTCAATTATATAATCTTTAATTCTGACCTGACATTCCCTTTGTCAGATTTATGCAGAGAAATTCAACTTGTCTTTTGGTAGTCTTAGCAACAACATTGATTATCATGTGCAACAAGCTTTCAGTGATGATTATTTTACATCCTACAGAACCAGTTACAGTCACTAAAGAACTATGTGAATGACTTGAGTGAGCAGAACGAGACCTTGGTTCAGACTGTGGAAGAGCTTGAAAGGGAAGCCAACGAAAGGATATCTCTCTTGGAAACCAAACTCAACAAAACTAATGTGTCTCTAAAGGTATATAAAAAGTCATTTATGAATTCTATTCATTTGACAACATATCATTGTTTTGTAAATAATCTAGTATGTATTCAAGTATATGTATGTTAAGTACATTTTGTTTGATGTGTTTGAGTTAGGGACTATATGCTCTTTTTTTTCAATTTTTGTGATAATTTATGATATGGAGATCCTTCCTAAAGCATGAATGGTCTCTAGTGACAATGTATGGTCTAAATTTAATTTAATTAAGTGATACATGTTAATATTCTTCACTTATTTTTTATGCTGATTTTCCCAACAGGATTCTAGTTTGCGAGCAAATGAATCTGAAAGACAGCTAGAGAAAACCAGGAAGGATAAACAAGTTATTGAAGAAGAGAATAAGGTATTTTATGCTCATGTAATGTTTTCATAAAAGAAAAACTTGCATGGTCAGCAGCAAAGGACTAAAATGGTGAGCAATTAAATTGTATTTGTGTTAATTGTTATATCCGACGGTTATTTGAAGGCTTTGAAAGAAGAGCTTGGTACCACTCAACAACAGTTCGCTCATCTGGAGACAAAAGCTGAAGATCTTGAGTGTGATATTGATGGACTTGTAGACCTTATTGGTACTGCTAGAGCTACTGGAAAATGGGAGGTAGGCCATGGACATCAATACCTTCATTCTGACTCAAACTTTTTGAGAAGGAGAGAGAAAGAAACAACAAACAAAACAAAAACTAAAATTTAAAAAAGGAACTGGTCCAAGGAGCCTCATCGTAGCAATCCTTCAATGCTGTCTGCAAACCCTAGTATGAGATTGTRCAACCATGTACAAATATCAACCAAAGACATTGTTAGGGGAAAGAGCCTATCCACAAAGAGTGCTGTGTGTTAATTGTGTCTAGTATATACATGTATATTGTTTAAACTGTATTCAAATGTCATCTTTAGTTGTTAATTTGATCAAAATTCATTTTCAGTTGGCGGGTCTTGATTTACGCACAGTTCCGCTGGATGCCATATTTGGTGCTCATGCCGCTGCATCAAAGCAAATGTAAATATGCTATATAACTTTTACAAACTATATATTAATATTAATTATTATTATTGCTTATCTGGTGCATATTTACATGTGGATATGATCGCAT